TTCTTCCTTTGACACCAACTTAAAACTTCAAAGCAACTTTGCTAAAATGAAAATTTATGAAGTGTCAGAAGACAAATATATTTTGTGTATTATGATTTGTGTTCAGAGAAGCAGAAAGTTTTGAGAGTACTTTTGGTAGTATACTGTGAGAAAAGTGAAAGGGGAGAGGAATTGAAATTTGAAATTAATAAGATATCTATCCAGAAACAGGAACATTTTAAATTTAGCCTACATGATAATCATCAGAAAATTATAATTTCATAAATCTAAAGCAAGAGTACATAAAAGGTGTAAAGAAAATATTTAATGTCAGCTGTTTTTCTTTGCTGAAAAAACATAAATACTGTATCTAAAATAAAGCATTTCTGACATTCTTTAGTGAAAAATGAAGCATCAGGGTCTTCCATAGCATATAGTGACAAACCTCAAGGTTTTCTTATTTTTCATGACTAAGTTCAATGTACAACAGAAGAAGCCTATATATATTACACAATTTAAAAGCCAATAACTTACTTAGATTTGTATGCTGTTTCATGCAGGTTTTAGATAAATAATATATTTTAATAGCACCTGTCAGACAAAAGATAAGCATACTGTGCAGTTTCAGTGTGTGACTAGTCTCATTACTCTCTGTGTATATACATAAATGTATACGTACATAAACTGTATATGTGCATTTTTTTTTCCAGCAAGGCTTATGCGTAGTAAAGCTTCACTGATTTGTAAACTAAACTTTTTGGCCATATGAATTTAAGACTGTAAGAGTTATTAAAGAGGCTAGTGAAGTTGGATGCACTTTCTTAGTCTTCCAGTTGGATTTGTTTTTCTGCTTTTGAAAATAAATGAATTTTAATCTCTGTTAATAACAAGGTTCTGTAGAAAAGAGTATTTATTCCAACATTCTGTAACAAAAGACAGGGACTTAATAATGGTAGTTCGTCTTAAGAGAGAGATGACTTATCTTTTACAAAGGTTCCTGTGATCTACTAGATGTTTTGCTATGTGGTCTGTGTTACTGGTGGTCATCTCATAATGAAGAAAAGAGAAAGTTTTGGATATTGAAAAATGTGGCACTTGGTATGCCTGTATCTTGAGCAGAGCGTGTCTGTAAGTGCAAGTACCCTTATGTTTGTATTTGGATCATGTTTCAGCTTGACAGAAATGAGTATATTTGTATGAAAAATGGAAGGACTTTCTGAAGCAATTTTAAAATTATTTTTTTAAATGTCAGAGGTTTACTTTAGCTTTGAAAATGTGAACCTCTACCACTCCATCTGCTGCAGACCTGGCAGTCTTGTGCTGCTGCTGAAGCTGTCTTTCAGTGAAGGTGATACAGTTTGCAGAACTGTGTTTAAGAAGCAGGTGCCTGTCTCGTTGGTCCTGCTGAGGAGGTGGTGACGGTGTGCAGAGGAGGAGGGTAAATGTGGTATTTTTTTGAACCATCCCAGCATGGTTTGAGCGGGATCATCCATCGATGGCAAATGTGCAACTGTAATCACACTTGCTAAAAATGCATCTTTAAGATTTCTGGATTTTTTTATAGTGTATGATTCTGTTGAATTCTGCAGAAGAACAAAGTCAATGCTTTATTACTGATAGCAGTTTTCAAGTGAAATCATTGTCATAAGTAGCCTGTGGCTGTCTTCCAGAGCATGGAGTAAGGGGTTATTTGGTAAGAACTGAGCATGACATCAGGATGAATCATGGCACGTTCTGCTGCCAAGTAATTTTACACTTACGGCAAGTGTGTTAAATCTAGAACAACAAACATATCTATCATTTTTTCAAAACAAGCTGCAACTTAGATTATGGTAAAAGCATATTTTCTTTTATAGCCAATTCCAGTACAACTGGTTTACTGGAGTGTTAATATGGTCATTGTCAAATTTTGGTTTTAACATTTGGATCTTCAGGCTAGAGTTTTCTTGGGTGTGACTTAATTTTCAAGTCTGTACACATTCTGTGTGGTTGATTACTCAAAGTCTACAGTTACAAAAAGGTTTAAGGGTAATATTAAACATGCTTTCCTTAAAAGTCAATTTCACACCCAAACATAGGTGTTGCATTAGCCTTCATTTGTTTTGTTTGTGTCTCTTGGCAGAGCACTGTCATCCAATGAGTTTGTCTTGTTTTCATTATTTGCTATAAGAAAGGGAATAGTCTATTTAAAAAACCCTGTATCTTAACTGTTAGAATATTAACAGCTTTTCTTTAATACTAATGTGAAATGATCATAGTATGGGATGCCAAAAATCCTTATATTTTTTCCACACCAAAAGTGCTAGTGATAGAAATAGGAAATATTTATGCCAAGTGTGAGGAGTTTTTCTTAAACGTATGTAACTGTTCAAAAAGCAAAGCAGGAAACTTTGTGAAACCTTCTTCCTTTGACACCAACTTAAAACTTCAAAGCAACTTCGCTAAAATTAAAATTTATGAAGTGTCAGAAGACAAATATATTTTGTGTATTATGATTTGTGTTCAGAGAAGCAGAAAGTTTTGAGAGTACTTTTGGTAGTATACTGTGAGAAAAGTGAAAGGGGAGAGGAATTGAAATTTGAAATTAATAAGATATCCTGAAAACTTTATCCAGAAACAGGAACATTTTAAATTTAGCCTACATGATAATCATCAGAAAATTATAATTTCATAAATCTAAAGCAAGAGTACATAAAAGGTGTAAAGAAAATATTTAATGTCAGCTGTTTTTCTTTGCTGAAAAAACATAAATACTGTATCTAAAATAAAGCATTTCTGACATTCTTTAGTGAAAAATGAAGCATCAGGGTCTTCCATAGCATATAGTGACAAACCTCAAGGTTTTCTTATTTTTCATGACTGTAAGTTCAATGTACAACAGAAGAAGCCTATATATATTACACAATTTAAAAGCCAATAACTTACTTAGATTTGTATGCTGTTAGAGTTGATATTGATTACTGTTTTAGCAGTATTCAATCACTTTTAAAGATGTAAAAATAATTTATAATTCTTTCTTATATATTTGCATTATATAATTTTATTTTTCAGCTCAGAAGATAAGATAACTGTGCACTTCATAAACCGTGATGGTGACAAACTAACAGCCAAAGGAAAACCAGGGGATTCACTGCTGGATGTTGTTGTTGATAATAATCTAGACATAGATGGTTTTGGTAAGTAGATTCCTTGAATAATGTATTCAGTGTCTAGAATTCATGATGAATTACCAGTCTATCTGTGGTGTCCATAAAACACGGTTCCTCATTTTTTTTTCCAATTTTTATGTACGGGATCAAGTTCTGAAAATATTTTGTGATAGCCATTAAAACTTTTAATGTTTGACTGTTAAAGTGTTAAAGTGTTGGAATGTTTGAAGTTAAAAGAGGGGAGGTTGCAGACAGATTCCACCCTGACAGCGCTCTGAAAGAAGCTGCCTGAGAACCCTCCTGTTCTGCATGCGGAGCAAACTGGGTCTGTTCCTGACAGTGGCAGGTTACTTGTGGCTGTGCTGTCATATAGTCTTGATATATATGTATTTTTTTGATCAGGCCTTTTGTAGCACAAATTGCTGGGGTCCTTGAGTGGCGAATGAAAAGAACAACCAAATCTATGTCAGTTAGCAGAGAAAAAAAAAAAGGTTAATTCTTATAAAAAAGCTAAAGGAGTTAATTCATTTCTTGAGTTTTGCCATACTAAGTTCTATCTTCCTGAAACCAGGAATAAAAATAAGGGATGATGAGTAGTGGTGGTGGGATATCCTCTTTTATTTCCTTCTCTAAGCTCTAAGAGTGATAATAGTGAGTTGCAGTAGTCCAATACATTCATTTTCAGTCAGGTTTTGTTTGGAAAGATAGTGCTTCAGTTTTCTCTTCTTTTTCTCTCTATTCTCATTTACAGCTGTTTTGACAGGTCTTTTAGGTATGGACCTTTTGGGAAAACTACTGGGAGTATAATAACAGGGAGAAGAACAGAACTAACTTCCCTTGTTTGTTGGCTTCCTTAGTCTCCACAGGTTGATTAGTTTGGCATTTGTGCTGCTTTTAATTTTGTGTGTGTGTGTTTTATTTGGGGACTTTTGGCAGGAGGGCGTTTTTCATCAGTTCGCATAAGCATAAAATAGGCAGTTTCCACTCTCGGCTCAAAGTTAACAGGCAAGAAAAACAAATATAAGTTGTCTGTATTTTGAAGAATCATGTTTTGCATCTCTAGAAAACCCACAGCCCTGGCGAAGCTCTCTGGAGGCGTGCTAGGAGTCTCATTTTCTTATTTCTCTTTACCACCTGGAAAATTGCCTTTATATTTTCTTTTTAGTTTTTAAAAAAATTTACATCTATTGACTAGTACTTTAACTGTGCAATGTTTCCAGTGTGCGGAGTTGTGAGCCTGGAAATGTAAGTAAAAGTGGGACTGAATCTCAGATGTGAAACTGTGAACTCAAGGTTGTAAATAGAAAAGCATGGAAAATACCGGGTTAACATGATGTTTTCAGAGTCGCATTGTATTTTCAAGCCAGATGAAAGCTTACTAGTTATCTTGCCAAACTTAAGTTGGTACATGCGTAATTAAAAATACTTACTCTTTTATATTAGGAGTTATGTTAATGTAGTTTAGGGACAAGAATCCATCAGTTATGTAGGATGGCTGGATGGAGCATCACCGTAAGCATGTAGGGGGTACCTTGCTTTGGCAGTAATGCACTGATTGTTAAACCTGATTAAGTAATTTAGAGCCTTCAATAATGGCCTCAGTACAAACTGAACTGTGCGCTTTTTGGTTAAAATCAAATTTTAAGTAAAATATTAAGTCATGAATATATATATGTAAAAAGAGACTCTTGTATTCCAAAGCCTTAGTGAAATTCTAACTCCGTAGAGGTTCTGCTTAAAATCAAAAATGGAGGAAGTTCTGAAAACTTCCCTATTCCCTCAGACTGCCCTCTGTTACATAGTTAGTTCCACTGAATTAGTGTGGTTCTGCCCATGCGAGCATTCAAAACAGGGATTTAAATGAATATGATGATTTCTAAAGGTGATTTCCAAACTTAACCATTCTGTGATTCTGTGAATATAAGTGTAAGAAAGTAATACTATAAGCTAAAGCTGGAAATGGAGTTAACTTTCCCTATACTTGCTCCATGTTATACATGTAGTTCATGTATTTTAAGTAGCTTGTTCTAGTGCACAGATGGAAATCTAATCTGTGCGTGTGTTTTTATTCAAGTGCAAATGCATTTCACTGATAGTAATAAAATCTCTTTGATAAGTCTGTAGCATCTCTGTTATGAGACGCATACATTTGGGAAGGAAGAATCTTGCCCAGTTTGGGGAAGTCTCTTGAAAATCTGTGACATGTTAGGACAACTCTAGCTTTAGGCAGCTTTTTTAGAGGCTTACGGCTACACTCTACAGTTAATATATTCTCATATTTAGAAATGTCAGCCATCTTAAAGTGAAAAGGCAATGCTGTCAATAAACAGGAGCCAGCATAATCATTGGAGATACAGTAATAATCTCAATGAAAACAATGTAAGTAATGTAAAAATGTGTGTGTGGTGGATTTTTTTTAAAGTGAAGAGAAAAAGGTTTAAAAAAAATTCTTATTTACTTCTCTCGCTAGGGGGCATCCCATGTCAGTAATAATGCTGATAGAAGTATGTCTGTATAAGAACTTTTTAAAAAGTTGAATGATTCAGCTACAGTCAGTTCATTTGCTCTTACCAGCCTTTCATTCCAGAAAGCACCTCTGTAGTGTAAGCAGTGGTCAGTGTGGGCTGTTTTCTTTTTTTTTCCCCTGTTCTCCAACCTTAAACAACACTTAAAACATCTGATATGTCAATTTTTTTCGTTACTTGCTTATTTTTCTAATGTGGGATTCTATTTGAAGATATACTATGTATATAAATATTTTAGCTATTTCCAGTAAGTAATTTCAAGTAAACTTTACTGTTGTAGGAAACATAGAAATATGACTAACAGTTGAATGGTAAACAGATCTATGAATGTGGGGATACATGACACACTACTGCTCAAGTAAGAGGTTTCTGCTGATACTAAGCAGAGAATCAGATATGTAAAGGAATTCTGCTGTAATATGGAAGTTACTTGCTGTTTACTTGCTTTCTTTAGGTGCCTGTGAAGGAACGCTAGCCTGTTCAACTTGTCACTTAATCTTTGAGGACCACATATTTGAGAAACTGGATGCAATTACTGATGAAGAGATGGACATGCTAGACCTAGCGTACGGCCTCACGGAAACGTAAGGCAGCATAACACTTCATTGCACAAAAGAACTGAAAAGGCTCCCCGGATGAGGCAGTTCAGCATTCCTAGAATGGCTCGATCATTTCTTATTGAATAGCTGGGTTCTGTTACACAAATGGGACTGGCAAACTCATGTATTGGTTGTCTGAATTCACATTAGGTAGATGTCAGCAGGGTTTTTATAAGCCAAGGAAAGGCCACAACTTTCTCTTCAGTGTCTGATGTGGAGGTGTCCAATAGTGAAACTAGACCAACCCAGTTCCTTCATCAAAAGCTTTGCCAGCACTGCCCTGTTTGAGATTTTTTTGTTTGTTTGCTTTTTGTTTTGTTCTCATTTCCCTTCTTTCTACCTTTGCTTTCTCCATCAATCTTTAATTAGTTCATGTTTTTTATGAATGTGTCACAAACCACTCCACTCTGCAGGTCCGTTGCTGGTGGGCAGCACTGTTGACTGTGTATGTTCCATAGGACATATGTGGAAGGAGTAGGCAGCTGTGTCTTGTGAGACTTCACAAGCCCTAATCTTCAGGCTTCAAAGCAACTACCTGGTCAAGTTTTTGAGAATATTTCCAGTGATTTCAGAAGATTTCATACCTGCCCTACATAGCATTTTTTTTAAAAATGATTCTGCAAGGAAGTACTTCGAATTAGTTCTTTGTACCAGTAATAGGAAGCTGTCCTAGTCATTTCTACGTGAGGGTAGACATTTATTTTTGCTTCAGCTATATATTTCTATGTAAAAATCTAGATGGAAATCTCTTACACTGTTTGCAGTGGAGAGACTTAGGAATGTCCCTGACCTTGAAGCTTTCTTTGCAAGGAATTTGCTGACGGATTAGTCTCAAACTGATGTGTCTATAGAAGAGGTATTAGAACAAATTAATAAAATGAGTGGAGATAATTGGTAAGGACTAGGTGATGTTTATCCAAGAGTTTTAAGCAAATTCAGTATGAAATTGCTAGTCTGTTAATGTTTAATTAAAACTGATTCCAAAACAGAGGAATTTAAGGTAGCAACCCAATTTTTAAAATGAGACTACTGGAACTAGAGAGCAGGAAGTTTAATTCCATACTGGGCAATTTATGCGTGTGTCTCTTGGCTGTTACTTTTTTATAGTTCCTACTAAATAATGGTGAGAAAAAAATCCAATAGAGCTTTTATAGAGGGAAGTAACCATTATGGGGCTTCTTCAAATGAATCACTGAGTGTGAAGAAATATCTTACAGTTCATGTAGTTTATTTGGCTTCCAGAAATCCTTTACAAAGTTTTGAGATGCAATGGGATAAGCAAAAAGGATAAAGAATTGGTTAAATGATTACTTGTCTTTAACGGTGTAGAAATATTTGACTGTCTTGCAGTCAAATCAGCAGTGTAATCCCAGAGTGATTTCTGCTATGTTTTATATGGTCAGTGTGTTTGTAAAAGGCTTGGAAAAGGAGGTGAAGAGTCAGATGGGAATGGGAGGAAGGCAGTAATTAACATATCATTGCCTGAAGGATAGTGCTGCATTTCCCACCCTTTTAATCTGCTTTCTTTCTGTTGATTGGCTCTGGTTTCTTAAATTTTGCCCTTGCGTTGAATGTAGGATAGGATAGGCCAAGAAGAATGTGGCAAGCTGGGAGCTTTCAGAAAAAGTGCAGATTAGGAGTCCCTTGGAAGAGCAGGGAATGTATTTCAGAACTGGCAAGCAAGACTTTCCTGGACTCCAGTGCAGCAACAGAAGAAGCAGCAGAAGAAGCTGCTGCATGTGGAATGAAGAAACGAAACTGAAAGAAAGGGTTCACCCTTTGAGGATGCAGTGGTTGTTGACATTAAGTGCAGTTTTTTTTTTAATGTATTTTTAAAAATATTTTTAGTTTCAACTTGTCTCATCCAAAACATGAGCATTAATTCATTTATTTTCACTTATTTGTGTGAATATAGTGTTTTGATTGGGCGATCAAATTTGTAGGATGAGGGCCATAAATATGCTTTTCAAACTGTATTCTCTTTCCCCAGAGTATCATTCACTAGTTCATGTTAAGAAACTAATCAAATTATCTTCAGCTGTAGTTTGCTCCTTTGTTCACCATTGTGTGATCCTGGTTTAGGATCTGCTAACACACTGAAAGGCTTCTTTAGTATACACAATTGCTGGCAAACTCTGTTTTAAGTTGCTTTTTTGGAATGAGTTCTGAAAAGAACAAATTAGATTTTTTAAAAATAAATGGTATCTGTTAATAGGATCTATAATAAAGAAGTTATTAGGTCCCAAGGGGATTTTGCTTGCACTCCATCGTTTTAATCACAGAGCTTTTTTGCTGTTAATGTCATAGGAAGATATTTCTTGCTTTCAGCCAACTGTTACGCACAAGACATTTTAAGAAGCAGCAAATGGAAGTGTTATCCTGTAGGTGCTTCAGAAGCAATCTGGTTGTGCTGAACCCCGCTTGGCTGGTCCGGAACTGCAAGTAGTTGGGTGGGAATGGGATGCTTTAACACTAAGTTACTCAAAGGTGGGATTATTTTAAAGTAGCTGCAGTTCCTCCACCCCAAATCTAGAACTTTTGACTTAGATGCAAACTTTTGGGAAGATACAAATGAGAAGAAAGTGGAAAAAAAAACTTTTTTTTTTTTTTCCTTCCTCAGTAAGTCTCTGTCTATCTGACTAGCTCTAAAAATTCAGCTGAAGTCAGATGTCAGACATGTCCCAAAGCACGTTGTGTTGCCTTGGGTTCCTTCAGACTTTGGATGGGTCGGGCTGTGCCTTTTCTGCGGAATTCATTTATTGCCTGCATTTCCTTGGAGATGTGATGACTTTTTGGTTCATCCCTATGTTTGACTAAACTATTAATGAATCACTAAAAATGGAAGGGTTACCTGTATTGTGTGTTGCAAGCAGGAAATACTCAACATAAAGCTTTACATGTATCGCACTCTGTTTTATAAGTAGGCAAATAGGTGGCCATGACTTAATTACATTTATATCTTTACATGGCTGTTCACTACTAGTCTTGATTAAAACCACACGCAAGTTTAACTGTTTCTGTACCATAATGTGTATGGGATGACTGAACTTTGGGGAAATAAGCTACAAAGTGCTGTTAGATGTAGAGCTGGGCTAAAACTAAAGGCATGTCACATTTCCTTACAGATCACGTTTGGGCTGCCAGATCTGCTTGAAGAAATCTATGAATGATATGACTGTTCGAGTACCTGAAGCTGTTGCTGATGCTAGACAATCGATAGACTTGAGTAAAAACTCCTAGAAGAAAATAACTTAGGGGTTTTAAAGAAACTTAATTATTTTTATAACTTATTTTTAAATGTGTAATTAAATACAGAAGCTTACATAATTGTGAGTTATTTTATATTGACTATCAATATTAGATTAATGGTATTTTGACTTTCTTTATAGAACCTCCTATATTTTTATGCTTAAAATGCAATAATACTTCTTCTAAGTGATGATTGGACTATAACTGTTAGTGAGATAAGTGTAATACAGATTTCTTACAATATTAATTCTGCCAAAACTTTGAGTGGCATTTGAACACTTGGATCACTTCTAAAAGGCTTCCTATAAAAAAGGGCATTTCTAGGTTTAAGACCTAGGTATGTAAGAGAACAAAACTTAGCAGACTACATGGGGTCTTCAGAATGTCCTGTTACAGGTGCTACGCTCAGAGTGCATCGTGCTGGCAGCTAGTTGCTGCAGGACCTTGCTGGCTGCTCATGCAAGCAACAGAGAACCTCAGTTTAACTGCATTTATCTTTGCACCACAAATGTGGGTATTCATGTGGCTCAGAGAGTGAAGACTCAGAGCTCTCTAATGGTAAAGACTCTAATGGTGGAGAACAAAACCACAGGAGCTGTATGTAACTTCTTGCTGTTGGGTGATACAGTTGGGATTGAGCAGGGCACTGTGCTGTCAACTTGTGTTCGGAAATCTTCATCTCTTTTTTTTAGTTGCAAGCTTGTTCAGGAGGCAGTCTGATGTTAGATAAAGTCCTTAGCTTAAAGAGAATCCTTGAGTCTGGGCCTCGCTCCAAGGATGATTTCAGTAACTGATTTATATGAAATGACCAACTGTATTTATCCCATAAACATGGGTTAGGTTGACCGAAAGGAAGACCCCCGTGGTGGATGATCCTATAGGTTGATGGCTGAGAGCATTCAGTTGGACCTTGATTTATTCCTTCTAAAGTTGATGAAAATAAAATAATGTCTCTAAGACTCATTATTAGTCTCTCCGATTTTTGTTGCCTAAATAACTAAATGAACCGGCTTTCAGTAATTTATTACGTAATGTAATGTTTTTGAATATTGGCATGATTTTGAGCTTCGTAAGGAAGAAAAGCAATCTTTTGATATAAAAAGAAATATTTTCTAGAACAGTGTTGAAAATAGTAAATCTAGTTCTGATTCCTTGATTTCCTTCTCACAGAAGCTGTTTGTGTTTTATGGTTCCCTTTAGACTTTTCCCTCAAAACAAAATACACTTAAGTTCCTTACCAGATCACATTAATCGTTAGGGTTCTCAAAAGTTGCTTAATAATTTGAATGTGACCTTTCCACAGTCACAAACTAGAGTAAATTGGTTTTCACTTTGTATTGCCTTTGTCCTCAGTTCATTTACCTGTGATAATTCTCATTAAATCTTGCACTTTTAATTTTTAAATGAAACATAGTTCCTTAAACTCCAGGATAGTGCTCTCAGGTAGGTCATAACCAGGGTTACAGTGTACTATGCATTCCTAATCTGAAGATAGAAAAGTAATCAGCATAGCTGTGAGCTTTGGGGATTTTTTTGGAGTTTTTCTGTTTTGTTTTGTTTTTATCTTCCAGTACCAGGCATGTCTCTCTGTGGGATCTCAAAGTGCTTAACGCTGTATTTGAAACACTGTGTGCCAAACAAATGTGAAACAACTAACCTGCAGCAATTCTCATTGTAAACCAAGGTTCTTACATTGTGCATTTCATGCGACAGCTTCTTGTTAGCAAGACTTTGTGGCTTTCCTGCAGTGTGCCTGTGGAAGGAATTATTTAGCACAGGAAGGCCAAAGGACACTTCCAAGTTCATCTTGAATTTAGAGGTATGCTACACTGCATAGAAATGCAAGACGCAGAAGGAAGACGAAGGAACTGATACGGACTCCCCAAAATGCACAGCTCGGAGGTATACTTGTTTCTTTAATGTCGAAATGATTTGCAAATAAACCTTATTTTATATCAATTTCTGAGGCACCTTGTTGGTATTAATCTTCTTCTCTCTTTGTCCTGTGCCACACTGAATGCATTTCTGGATGTAAAATAAAATTTATAAATACTTATATTTAGCAGTTAATGCACATTCAAATACAGATGCGACTTAGTGTGCAGTGAAACATTATTAAAGTATCAGAATTACTTGAATACATATCTACTGTTACTTCCTTGTGCAAATAAAGGTTATAGATAACTTACTTTCTGAAGGCACTTCCTTTCTCATTAGAACATAAGTCTTCACTTTCTCTCCCCCCCCCCATATATATATATACACACACATATATACACACACGTATATAGAAAGCAAGAATATGTTTATATTTCAGAATGCAGCATGACTGTGTTTCCGTCTTGCCTTTTTTCATTTAAAGGAAGTTAATAAGACATGTATGGTCTGGGGCAGAAACAGGCCTGTATTTCACTAGTGGTGGGGGAAGTTTTTCCTTCTACTTCCCTGTTATTTTTACTTCAGTGTGGTATTTGAAGGAGAGGAGGGAGCTAGTGAGGTGCAGCAACTGCTCTGAGCAAAACAAGCTTGGTTTGGGCTTTGTGGCTTCGGTAGCTGTAGAAGAAATGCCCAAGATGAGCCCTTGCAGTTGAGACATTGCAGTTCCGTAAGTTCCCGTTTTGTTGCCTGTCTCTCGCTGTGTGTGTTAGGTTCGTGGTGTAGCTGAGGTTGGTGAGTGCACGTGGGAGCCAGCAGGCCGGGCTGCCCTGCAGTTTGTATCGCTGTGCCCACTCTTGGAGGTATCTGCCAGCTGCAGTTTGGTTTCTGCTCTGAAAAACTCCTTAGTCCTAGCAAGTCCACTTTTGGGGTTCAGGGCTCCAAAAAATGAGAAGCAGCTGTGTCCAAATTGAGGTTTCATCCCCCTCTTGGAAGCATTTCAATAGGATACATCAAGAATAAAGATTCAGGGAAAGTCATATTGCTTCCCCCACTCGTCTATCCAGGGAGAGAAGTTAGGAAGTTCCTATAGGAACTAGATCGGAAGTTCCTATAACACCTGACTTTCTGCTTTGCCTTTAGGAAGGGCAATGTCATATACGAAGACAGGGCAGACCAAAAAATTCAGATTCCTTAGTAGGAAGAGAGAGAAGTAAATGTTTAAAGTGGTGCGGGGGAGGAGAGAGACTCAAGCTGATTCACTAGTTGTTTAATAGCAGAAAACCTGCAGAGGACCATGTGGAAGGCCGCAGCTGTAGTAGGTGACTCACGATAATTTCTCCTCAGATGATCTGAAAAGATACAGAAGGGGAAGGGGGATTTCCTGTGTTCTGGGGAATCCTAGGAACAGGATTGTTTTCTTTGTGGGTGGCCTGGTGCATCCGACCGCTCTGGGCTGTGGCTTGTAACGCCCGTAGCGCAGGGGCCCTTACGTCAGTGCTGCCGGCAGGATCCCCCTTGCTCTGGAGCCCATGGATCGTCGCTCGCTGCGCTCAGCTCCCCGCGGCACCAACCTGGGGCTGGATGCATCTCTGCGGGGCGGGAGGATCCTCCGGGCAGGGAGGATGAAGAGGCTTGTGAGCAGCCTCGGCGCAGGCGCTCGCTTAGGTGCCTTTTGGGTTCCCGCTCCTGGCTCTGTCAGCACTCACCTTCCCTAGGAGGTGAGGACTGAGATGTGCCCAGCCGGTGCTGAGCCCCGCTGGCAAACCCGTTACAGCAGGCACAAGAAAAGCAGACGTGCTAGAGATCAGAGCAGTCCCGGGCGCACGGATCCCGGCCGTGCGGGCACCCATGCCAAGGCAGGAGCTGCTTTGGTTCCCGTCAGAGAAGTCTGCGTGTGTAGGAGCCAGGCCTCGCAGCTGAGACTGAGTGACTTTCTTACATCCAGGAGCAAGTGGTTGGTTTGGGGAGGTCTGTCCCCTTAGTCTTAAACAGCCATAGGAAATGCTGTGGGTGGCATTTCTCCTGCAGGCAGTGTTTGGTCACAGGTGGCCTTCTTTAACCCCATTGTGGGTCAAGCAAATACCTGAACAAGCTGGATGTTCCTGTTCCACCCAAATACGTCCGAGGAAAATTCTGGAGGAGCATTAGCTGCTTGTTCTCATGTTACCATCCTGCAAGTAATTGCCTTGTGTGGCCTGTAGGCTTTAGTGATCATTATCTTTTGATCTGGTAAGTGCTCACAGGCTTGTGGATTTGCTGCTGGTGATTTTGAAGAAGGGTCTCCCCTTCCCAGAAAATCCTCATTGTAGGGGGAGAAACAGTGAGAGAGCAAGCAGGCTGAAGCAAAAATACACAAGGACGCAGCTGGGGTGCCTAGGAGAGCTACACGAATGCACCTCCCAGGGAGTTAGCGATAGGTTTTGGCTAAGGATAAAGGTAGAAGGTCTCATCTCTGAGGAATGTTGAACAACAGATGAAAATGGCTGTAAAAGAAAACAAATGGTGTCATGGAGACAAGTCATATGGTGGCTACGAGTATCAGGGAAGGTTCGTTCGGGTTGTGGTTCAGTTCCTGGGGTGAAACGACTGTCAGGAGAGCACAGCAGGGGAGAGCTGGAACATGAGAACTTCTGCTGGAGATTTCAGCACGGTTTTTTTTTCTTTCAAGCTAATTGAATTGTTATGATCACCACAGTCATTTGATTTTCATCAGAATATTAGGAGAAAAAAAAAAAACATACTCTGACCAGATACAGACATGAAGAAACAGCTGGTTTCCCTTTCCTTGGAGTTTTTGAGGGGCTGTCCTTCAAGGAGGGGATCATCACAGGAGCCTGCGAGGCAGAAGTCAGCAAAAGAAGGGAGCTTAATGAGGATGAAGAGGAACTTTGGAGTTTGGGATCTCCCTCAGTCAACCGGTAGTGCTGTGTTTCCAATTCAAACAGCCCACACTGAGCATTGCAAGAGAGCTTCCTATTAAAAAAAAAAAACTTTAATCAGAAAATACTTCCTTTTACAAATCCCCGATATTTTGTCAAATTGAAACACTGAAGGCTTGAGGATTTCTTGAGGAGTTCAAAGCAAGACTCCAGCAAGAATCTCTATGTTCCTGAGCGGCTTGGTCAAGGATCCTAGAGTTTTGGCTGTTACCACCTAGGAGGTTTCTGCTACAGACAAAAACCCTTTAGGATTTGGTGTTGGTCCTCAGGGACTCCGGGGGTAACGATGAACAGCACAAGTGTCACCCATGGCCTACAGAGCAAGGGGTCAGACTCCAGGGAGCCTCCGGCTCCAGACAAGGCTTCTGGGTTTCAGGCCGCGGCCAGGAGCCAGGAACTGCCTCTATCTTCCGTTATGTTAACGCTCAAAGTAATTTGAGAGGTAGACGGTGTTTTCATGACCAGTTCAAGCTGATCTCCAGCTCCACTGACACCCAAAAGAGTAATCTGATCTTCTACTTTCCCAAGAAATTCTCCTATCGCCACTTGCACACCAGTG